CTGGCACTAATATTCATGCAAACAACTTTCAAAGAACTACATCGAAATCAGATTCTGTGGAAAATAAAAGAAAAAATTACAAAGGACAGTCTGTCAATACTAATGTCAAAGTTAGAATTGTCAGGCCACAAATTATTGATACAAATACTATAGTGAAACGAGATACCTCAAATAAGAATGTATTTTCTAGTCAAAAAAAAGTACAAAGTAATATAACTATTAAGTTAATACCGAGAAATGATAATGGAAAAAAAAGGATTGTAATAAAAAATCCAAGGTATAGTGCATATTTTATGTTAAACATATTTTCATAATAAATTATAATTATTATATTATTATTTTTAGCGTATCCCAATTGGTACAACCAAGTAAAAATTTACAATCGTCAATTGATAAAGCCAAATCACAAATACGAACAGCTATGCAAATGAATAGTAAGGAAAACCCATGACTTTGTATCAAAACAAATAATAAAAAGAAAAATTGTCGCAAAAATTATTTATTCTATATTCAATAAATACATATTATTGCAGCTGACTTACAATTATGTAATATACAATTAATTTTTACAATTATTTGAATTTCTTAAAAAGATATTTGTAAAAAATGCAAACTATATCTAAATTTTTTATATTATAAAAAATAATTCTAAATAATAACCGTAGAATCTGAATCCCACTGCATATCATTTAATTTCGACTTTGTAATATACCTTTTGTGTGGTGAGATGTTTTCTTGTGATACTTTTGTGACAGTACCTTTGTTTTTAAATATCTGTTGTGGTGACTTTGTTAATAATGTTTGCACTTGTTCATTATTTGAACGATTTCCGAGAGGTGTTCGACCCTGAAAATAAAATGTAAACCATTTGCAATAAAGTATAAATATTTTCGTTTCTGTAGCAATAATTGTTAATTCATTAATACCTTTGCACTTCTATTTTTATCAGGATTAAAAAATTTGTTTTCATCTGTTGTAATTTTGATGTCTGATTTGAGACTTTTCTTTTTTTTTTTTACTGTATCAATTTTTGCCTTTTCGTTTTTTAAATTAGCTAATTCTATTACGCTGTCATCGTCAAATGTTATAATTACTTCTTCTTTAAGTGCTTGTGGTATCTTCTCTTCAATAATTTGCGCACTGTCTGAGTCATTTGTCTCTAATTTTTGAGGTTCATCCAACGCCGATGCATCTTTCCATACTTTAATCGTATCATTTAACATAAATTTTGTTTGGTCTGTATTTTCATTAACATGTACATCATTAAACTCATCCTGTCCTTCCAATTTTTCCTCTAACAATATAAATATTTTTTTTATCAGATACAAAAAATTTTCAATTCTAAAGTAACTTTGAACTAGTAATAGTAATTTCTCACCAATTGCTGAAATACACTCAGTTTCAGATGAATAACTAGAACACGATGATTTAGATTCGTCGGATTTATCATCGTTATTCTTAACCAGGTTTAAAGACTCTGTTACTGATGTAGGCAGAGCTTGTATTTCAGTTACATTGAATTGTGATGACAATTCACAATATGAAAATTTTTGACAAAACATATCTGTATCATAACTACCATGTCTATGCAAATAATTTTGAGACCTTGCTCTTAAACGTTCTATTGATTTTGGCATTAAAATTGGTGTTCTATCGAAATCTGCTGCTGGGGATCTGGGATCAAGTCCTAAGATCTTATAACGTTCCTCTTCTATATCTGTAATTATCTTTCTATCATGTAAATTAATAGTTGGTGTTAAAAGGATATCTTTATCTTCCTGAAATAGTCAAGTAAGCTTTACAAATTACATTAAAAAATTGAAATTTCTAAAATATGTTGTGACATAAATAATTTACTACCTTTAGCAATTGTATTTTTGAACTGTCTATTATTTTTGGCACAAAAGGTTTCTTTGGAGTTAAGCAGAGCATTATTTTATCCATGTCTGTTTCCAAATATTGTGCAGTTTGTAAATGTCTTGGAATCGCTGATATCCTTTTATTTATTCCAACTGGTGTACTATTTACCTATGGACATTATAAACTTTACATATTGTTTACTATTATATAACATAAAAATCTACATTAAATCTGTTAAAATTACCTCTATTGGTGTTCGATTTATTCCACTTGTTATTGATCTAGGATCAATAATTAATGTTTTACGAACCATTGGTGGAGTTTGCATAATGTTTTTTTCAACAGTTACTTCATCAATAGACGAAGAATGTTTTATTTCTTCTTTTTCCACTTCGTTGTCAGGAATATCAGTATTATGAATAAAAAATTTGGTAATGTAATTTCCCATTATTGTATCACTATTTTTTTTCATACACCTAGGATTTTAATGAATAAATTATGAATACAGTAATATAATTATATTTAAATCAACATTCAAATCATCTGTTTAAGTATACAACGAGCATTAGTATATGTTAATCAAGATTTTAAAAAATATTTACTGAGAATTTAATGCATGCTTGATATTAAATTTAAAATTTGGGCTTACTTTACGATCAAGTTTATTTTTTCTGATTGTTATTTCTACCTTGTAATCAAATTTACAATTAAAGTTGTATCACTTATAGTCAAGTTTTCTTTAAAACACAGTAAAACTCCGGGTCTGTTACAAGTTCAAATTTAAGCATAGTACGTAATCCATCTTTGAAAATTCAACTAACCGAATGACGAAGTTCTGCCAACTTCTTATTCACCAGCTTTGTTGCTTTAAATAAGGATACCAATATACGAACTTTACTTTGTATATTTTTTTTTTATATATATTTAAATAATATATATCCGAAAGCAACAAGCAACGTTATGATACATTACATTTCCCTTTAATAAATGTGCAAATTTTATGTTGCATGAATTTTATGTTGTTATAATCATCACAGATCAATGTAACTACATGGCTATTAACGTGTATGTACGATTCAGTGGAATTTATATCGTTTGCTGAACTGTAACTCTAATCACATTGTAAATATGAATTGAGGCAGTTAATCATAAATCGTGTGTAACAAAATACATAAATGTAAATATGTAGTAAATTAATGATATTACATCTTTTTTAGGTTACTAATTTAATAAGACAAATGCCTAAAAGCTAGGATTGTTGACCTTAATTTTGATTATTT